AATTGTTAATAGTAGGTACGTGTATTGTGTAATAGAAAAGGGGTGTATAGTGTATACTCACTATTCAGTAGACTACTAATTACTATACATTAAATGTGTTGTGTGTAGCCGTATAACCGTATAAGTAGGTACACGTTTTCGAAATGAAAAATATTTTTCGGCCGTGGGAAAATGCTTAGCGCACGCGTAGACGCACAGTTGTCCAGATTCTGGAGAACAGATAGACACAAGACAGAGACGAGTATGGGACATGGGTATGGCATATCACGCTACGGATCGCTCGTCGCCTGCTATATTGTACACTCATCGACGCATGCGCGACCGCGTTTTTGAATTATTATAGTATTAATCTATAAAATCGGTTTTCAACATTTCCGTTTTTCCGAGGAGATCACGCGTCATTTCGGATATGGTAAAGAAAAAAGCAAATGAAAACAATACAAACACTTCCTCGGACGTCAGCCTCATGTGAAATCACGAGTAAACCAGGGGAAACCCTAGAACGGCTAGAACCCTTCTTAGTTCTTACGGGTTGACCTCGCGGGAAGTATCGGAGACATAATCTATTTTCTATGGACGTGTCTTTCGTGTGATTAGTGATTGTAGTGATTACGCAAGGTTTATAGATAATAGAGGTTGCCTCATAGTCATGTAAATAAATCGATCACCCCGCACCATTCCTTATCTACTGACGTCACCCGAAGTACAAAATTCAAGGCGGCGCGTTGAGAAATGCTGTCAAAGCATATACTTTATATCTTTATTTTTATGCTAGGTATTTTTTTTTTTTATTATACTTATTGATTTACTGCTATTATTAATATCGATGAATTGTTATTGAATATTTATTTTATTATTTAGAAATATTATGCTTCATGGGTAATATAATTCGTTATTTTTCGCTATTTTTTTGGACAGGTTTTAATTACACCAATAATAGACAATAATTAAAATAATATTATTTAACTATTTTTTAATTTTTACGAATTGTATCTAGTTGTAGTAACATGTAATTATAAGCATCTATACTCGCTACTCATGTACTAAATTTTTTTGTTAACCCAAAATTGTAATTCAACTATTTGAATTGAGTTAAAAAGGTTGATTATTATAGTTATTACTTACATAGAATTGTATAATTATGAAAAAATATTGCTATGAGACATGAATACTTTCTTTAAAACTCCTATATAAATATGTAGTGTGTTATCATTTTTCTGTTGATATTTAGAGTAGGTACTATTGTACTAAGTACATTACAGATAAATCAATTACAAAAATTAAAACTATATTATTTTCACAAATTATTTTAATATACAAAATAATACATAAAATAGGATAATATATACAAAAATTATAATAATTAATAATTACATAATAATATTATACAAATTATGTCATAAGTCTTCTAAGTTTTTGAAGTCGTTGTAGATTTACTTTAGCTTTTCTTTTTTTGTTGAGTAAATTACTGTGGTGGTTTAAATACTTCATTCGTATGAGAATCCTTTGTTTTACATATTTTTGCACAACAGGATAATACTTTTCAGGCATTTCCATTCTATTAAATATTTTTTTTGTTAAATTTTTAACTACTCCTTGTCCTTCAGGAATTTTATTTTTGGTTATTTTATTAAAAAGTCTTTCTATTCTAAAAATATTATTTTTAAATTCATCACTGGGAACTATTAAACCACCATAGGATAAGTGATTTATCCATGGAAGTATCCCATAATCATGTCCATGGGAGCTTTCATTTAAATGTTGTTCTGTTGTTGTTGAACCAAGCTCAGGAAATTTGAGTCTGAATGTCTTAGCTACCCATCCTGCCAAGTATTCAACTGCATCTTGAACCATTTCAATTTTGTTATAGTTATTTACTATTGACTCATTATCACTATTTGTATCTGTAGAATTTTCACTGTCTTCAATATTTTCAGAAACGTAATTTATTTTCAAATCAATTTTCTTCATGGTTTTGGCTAATAAAAACTCTTCATTATTGCTATCAGTGGTATTCGTTTGATTAGAAGTTACACCGGGAGTTTTTCCCAATATTATCATACGAAGTCTATATAAGGCATTCAAAGGAGATGGATGGTCATTTAACCCACCCCTAGTCCGTAATTGTGAAAATAGGTTTTCTAGTGCATCTTGATTAACTTTACTAGATAAAATATACTTTAATCCATGATCGCGAACAATTTTCAAAAGAAGTTTCAAACCATTTATGTGCATGAGAACTGCTTTTTGGAAAATTTGAAGACTATATTTTCCATTGCATCTCATAAACAAAAATGTATTGTACATTTTATCTAATAGTGAATTTTGTTCATCCAAGTAAAATCCATAAGGAGCTGTAAAAGGGGTCCGATGGTTATTTGAATGAGAAACATTACACAAATCAAACCAATTATTGACTAGTTCGATAAAATTAGCAGTATCATTGAGTAACTTTGTATCGTCAATAGGTTTGTAATGTAAAAGAGCTGTTGCAGTCGTATGAGACAATAATTGTGAGGCTAATTTTACTTTTTGACGCTGAGGTCCTTCACAGGTTAAATGCTCTTCACTAAGCTTATGACAAATACTAATTTCTGTTGATGTTTGTTTAATTAAACTTTCTAATGGTTTTTTGTTGATCAGCTGTTCATTAAATTGAAATCCGGTGTCTAATAACCAATTTCTTATTAGTTTCAAAATATGAGGGGCATCAGGAATAAATACAATTTCTTTTCCGTTTGGAGTAGAGCATACAGGGTTTTCATAGGTAACATCCAATGCTTTCCATAAACCAACATTTCCACCCCCACAATCACTTATGCAGCATAAAACATTGAACCCAATTTGATCTAGTCTATCAATAATACTGAAAAGAATAGATTTTGTCATCTTCTGATCAAAACCAACAAAGACAGGTTGTTTCCATTGTGATGCGATCCCTCTAGCCATAACCACTTGCATTTGACTATGGGGGCCAACAACTTCGTCACGGAGTACATCATATTCCATAGTACTGGATATTTTTACTTCATCGAACATTAAGATGGTGAGTTTTTCATAATCTTGTAATGTGTTACCATTAAGCTGCATCATTCTGATTACATCCTCAAGAATACCATTCCGCATGTCTATATTTTTTGCCCATCTTTGGAGAGAAGACAGTCCTAAAATATTTAAGTATAATTAAATTATAGAATTATTTCTGTGATTAAATAACAAAGTTAATAAAATAAATATAATTTACCAGGCAAAGGATAGTGCAATTCATCCTTAACGTAAACATAGGCTCGTTTACTGAAGTATCTCAAAGTAAATGCTTTTGAAATGTCTTCAGTAGTCCAGTGAACTTTCTTTTTCTTTTTCATTATCAAGTCAATTTGATTTTTAGAAAATATTGCCGATAAATATTTTTTAGCTTCAACATCAACCGCACGACTTTTGTTCTTAGAAAGCAATTTATTTTCTTTTGTCAGTTCTTTTTTATTTTTTATTAAAAGTGTGTTTGCTATCTGTAAATGTTGTTTTGAGGATCTGAGAGATTGATTGATTTTTTGATAATCAATAACAGGTTCTTTTTTAGATTTTTCATGTTTATGAGAGTTTATATTAGATTCATTTTGTAAGACTTCATACATTTTAAGTAGTTCGTTGTACATTTGTTCATAATTGGGTTTTGGTGGAAGTGTGGAATCATCATCAATCATTACTGTGGAACTAGATACATCAGAAGGCCAATTCGTATCAGTATTCATAACTGAAGTTATTAAATCATCATGATCCTATAACACATAAAAACACTATGATAAAAAAAAATATAATATGTATTCAACTTATTTAAATTATGAAAAATTAAAATGATTTATTTTAACACAAAATTATATTTAGATAATATAAATATTTATTAGTAATTAATGATAACATAATATAATTATAATCACCTGTTTTTTTTTTCTTAATTCCATTCTACTTCTACGACTAGATGATGATGTTGATGCTACATTACTGTGGGTATAATCTTCTGGTAAATTTAGGGTAGGCAATGCATCAGGTTTTAATTTACGAAATTTAGGAGTGTATGCTAAAATTATTAAAACAATTTGATAAAAATATTGTCATTATGAGGTAATTTAATTAAAAATATAATTACCTAAGAGTTCGGCTTTAAGATCTCGAACATATGCATCATCACTAAAATGTTCAGAACACATATATGATAAACAAGGATTCATACTATCTCCTCTTCTACACTTTAGAGTCCACTTATTTTGTAGCTCTGGGTCTTTTGGAAATCTAAAAATTAGAGTAAAATCTATATTTTTGTTTGAAAGTATGCTAACTGAGCAAATAATTTTTGAGGTATTGCCGTATCTATTAGTCATTTCATTTGAGTAATTAAAAATATTGCAACTTGTAAATTAAAACTGTAGGTACAAAGGATTCATTCTCAAACAAAATAATATTTATTTTATACATACGATTGAATTTACATTTATAATTAACTTAATTAGTATTAAATTATTTATATTATTATAATTATTACCTGTAAAATGATATATTATTAGTATTTCCATCTCGCTTCACCTTTCCAGCATAATTAATGCATGTTGCTACAGCACAACATGATCCACCTTTGGGTTTTAATGATTTTGTTGTCATGTCTTAATATTTTTTAATACTAAACGTGGATTGAACAAAAAATGAAATGTAATGAACAATAGAAAACACGTGAGTAGTGACCGAATACAGCAGTTGAACGTTAATACTTAATAAATGTACAGTTTGACATTTTGTACTTCGGCTGACGTCACTGTGTGGTTTCTCCCACTCCTAAAATTTCATAATTTGTAAATGAGGCAACCTCTATTATCTATAAACCTTGGTGATTACGTACATTCTGTTATTATCATTTTCGAATTTCAAAACGATGTAGCGCACACACGCACGCACTCATACACGGCGCACGCACAAGAAAAACGCCAACAAGTGAGTATAACCGTATCATCATCATTATCATTCGTTTGTGTCCCGTCAGTGTTCGTTGTCGCGGTTTGTATTAGTGAGTGGGTATGCGAAATTGATTTTTTTTTGTGGTTTCCTCGAACAGTTTGACTGAAAGAGTGTCAATTGCCGAGATTTTTCTCGTCGCTGGATCCGAAACGTTCAGACAACCGTCGTTGCGCGCGCTATGTTGTACCGCCGTTCATTTACATTTAACGATCACACGTCGTTAATCGGCAGTGATTGACGCGCGATTCACCATCCGGACGGGGCCGTCTTATCATTGATCCATTGAGTTCTATATTATTTTGACGACAAATACTTGCCAGAGTCGGAGCTCGTCTGTAGCAGTGCGATCCATTATCGTCGACGTCTGTACGCGACTATCAGGACCGTCCTCCGTAGGTAAAAATCTTGAGTTTTCTTTTGTCACTTCCCCTCCGGAACTATAGTATTTCCCTTTTGTATAGTTACCACAGATCATACGTATCGTGTAGAAAAGTTCCTATCAAACCAATGTATTAATAATTGATATTTAATAAAAAATAGTCCCTAATCAGTCATGTATTGACTTGTCAGAAATCAGAATCTCCTAAATATACAACAAATAACAATCATAATATTGTGGTGTTAAAGCGTACATTACCTAGCATAGAATTTTCAACTGTCACTGTAACTAGTATTTTTTTATTTACACGTTTTTACCTAGGTATTACTAAAAGTACCTATTATGCCAGTTATTTTCCTACGTAAAACCCATGATTAAATTTATGTTAACTTTTATTATGCATATTTTTAGATACCTAGTGTAAATATGAATTAGTTAAAGAGGTTAGAAAAATATTCAATTTATTCTACTGTACCTATAATATATCGAAAAAAATAACAATTAATATTATAGTAGGTATATTTGTTTTGTAATTTATAATTTATATTAAGCTTATTTCTTATGACAGTATTTTATTTTTGTTTAATGTGTTTTTTTTTTTTTAATAAATTGCTATCTTATTTTCAATGAAATTTCTTTATTTTTTCAATTTACAAGTATAAAAACATTTTTTAGCCCTGCCCTTAATGCGTTAATGAATACAACCTTGAACAAGACCATTATTCCACATGATTTTGATTTTAAGAATTTAATTATAATACATTTTATATTCAATTTAAATAATTTAATATTATTTCAAATTGTGTTTTATATAGTTAATACTAGCCTAATATTGGATTATTAAAATGTTACTTAAGATGCTAATTCAATATTATTTCATTTTTTAATTTAGGTTCTAATAATAATAATTATCATTATTTTTTTTTAAGTTATGCCACTTATATGAACTTAAATGCCATGGGTGAAGGCAACCAGAGGTACATAGTGCAAGTGTTTGTGGGTGCTTTATCACAATGCTATGAAGCACTCAGTGTGGAGGCTAGCAAACAAACTTCTTCTGATGAGATTGTTAGCTGTATAGTGGAACGACTCTCTTTATCAGGGGGTTGTGGAACTACTTGCAATAGTGCGTTTGAGCTAGCTGAGGTGGTTGGTGATGCTCTTGGACGAGAATGTAAGGAACGCAGACTTGGTCCTACAGAATGTCCTGTTGCTGTTATGCTGTTATGGCCCCAACCTCGTAGGCACACTCAACAAGAAGAATATTATAGGTAAAACTAAGATTAAACTTATTCTAAGTATTTAGTTACTTATTAAATTCACTAATTGTACATTTTTCAGATTTTATTTGAGAGAAAAGTTATCAGACAGTTTGTGGGCTGATGGTTTTACTATGGACCCACAACTTATACGAGACTACTTCTATAGATTTCTTTATCAACCACAAGATCGAGAATATCCAGATCTTTGTCAACTTCCTGATCTCAATGAACAAACACTTTTAGATAATCTAAGAGCTAGATTTTTGGCTGGTCATATATATACTTATGTTGGTTCCATTTTAATTGCAGTCAATCCTTTTAAGGTAACATACAAAAATAATTTATTAAGTTCCTCATTTGTAAAATATTATGGGATTCAATTAGCAGGTGATTTTCCAAATTTTTGTATGACTTAGAGATAGTACTTAATTAGTAATTATCCTTGTAATTATTATATGATTTACTGTTTTTTTTTTATAAATATTGATATTGACACATGAAGCTAATCTAAAACATTTTACAATTAAATATCTATTATCCATCTTATTAGCTTATAAAATCTAGTATATATTCTCAAGACGATTTATCATTTAACACATTTTGTAGACTTAAAATCTAACATTAACATAAAAACTATTGAGTGTATATGTTATGAATATAAAATACATAACAACATTTTAGAAATATAACCTTTTCCTGATAATTTTATTAAAGCCTGTTATAGGTCAGTAATTAAAATAATTTATTTTTCAAATTTTTATTGAATACTATAAAAATTAATTGAAAAAAATTTGTAAATTCATGTTTATTTACTTTTTTTTTCTTGTTTATCAAATAATTAGTTAAAATATTTACATTTTTGTAGATTTCCAAAAAATAGTCATTTGCTAAAAAAATTTCAATATAACAATATAAATACTTAATATGTTTATATATTAATTTTTTTTATTAGTTTCATCCCATTTATAATCCAAAATATGTAAAACTCTATCAAAATCGAAGACTTGGTCCAGAGCTACCTCCTCATATATTTGCCATTGCTGATGCTGCATACCATTGTATGCTAAGGGAAAGACGTAATCAGTGCATTGTGATAAGTGGAGAAAGTGGTAGTGGTAAAACAGAATCTACAAATTTTCTTTTACACCATCTTACTGCTTTGAGTCAGAAAGGTAGTCATGGTAGTGGTGTTGAACAAACTATATTAAGTGCTGGTCCAGTGTTAGAAGTATGTAATTTATTATTATAACTTTTTTTTATTTTTAACTCTTCAATGTATTGTTATTATGTTATTATTTAGGCTTTTGGAAATGCTAAAACAGCCCATAATAATAATTCAAGTAGATTTGGTAAATTTATACAAGTTAATTATAAAGAAAATGGGATGGTACATGGGTAAGTACTTAATAATTCAATTTTGTGTCCATTTAATTTGTTATGATTTGATTTTGATTTTTTTCACGACTATTAAATAACTATTTAAAGTTGTATTTAAAATATTTTTAAGCTTAACTTAAGTATAAGATATTTTTATTTATTTTTATTTTTTATTTTTTTTAATATATTTTAGCGCTGTTGTTCAAAAATATCTTTTAGAAAAATCCAGAATTTGTTCCCAGGGACAAAATGAACGTAATTACCATGTATTTTATTACCTATTAAATGGAGCTAGTGATTCAGAAAAAGAGGCATTACATTTACATCGAGTAGATTATTATAATTATTTAAATGGGGTAAGAATATTTTTTTTATCTATTAAAACATAATTCATTTTTATTTTACAAAAATGTATATGCTTATATTTTTAGAGTGGATGCTATACTTTAGGAAATTTAGATGAAAAATATGAATTCTCTAGATTAAAGCAATCTATGGAAATGGTAGGTTTCACACCTGAAAAGCAACGCCGATTATTTGCAGTTCTTTCAGCAGTTTTATTGTTGGGTAATACTACAATTAAAAATACAATGGCAATTATTTTTTTCATCAATATTTTTTAATTTTAATTTTTAGGTAATGTCGACTTTCAACCTCGCAAGTCTGCTTACCATCATGATGAAGCAGTTGCTGTAAGAAATCCTGAAATAGTGTTTTTAATATCACAACTCCTTAGGGTAAAACAGGAAACATTATTAGCTGCTTTAACTGCTAAACGTGCAAAAGCATCTGGAGAAACATTAGTGATTAACTATAAGTTACCTGAAGTAATCATTCATTTTTTTTTTTTTTTTTCAAATTATAATATTTTTGTTATAAATATTATAGGCTATAGCAGCTAGAGATGCAATGGCTAAATGTCTTTATGGCGCTCTATTTGATTGGATTGTATTACAAGTAAATCATGCTTTACTTTCAAAAAAAGATACTTTAAGAGATCATCAAGGAAATTCAATTGGAGTGTTGGATATATTTGGATTTGAAGACTTCGGTGCTTCAAATAGGTAAGTTGTAAATTAATTTTATGATTTTTTTTTATTTACAATAAATGTATGGTTTATTTAGTTTTGAGCAATTTTGCATAAACTATGCCAATGAACATCTTCAATATTATTTCAATCAACATGTATTTAAATATGAACAAGAAGAATACCGTAAAGAAGGAATTAAATGGAGTGATATAGACTTTTTAGATAATACTGGATGTTTGCAAATGATTGAAGGCAAACCTAATGGATTATTGTGTGTATTGGATGATCAATGCAAGTAAGTAGTTATTACAATAATGATAACTGTAAAATTAGTCGACTTATTAAAGTAATTTTACAGAATATAACATTATACAGTGTTTTTACTATTATTTTTTTTTTTTCAGTTTTCCAGGTTCTTCTTCTGAAACATTATTACAAAAATTTAACTCTGTTCATAAAGATAACAAATTTTATGAGATGCCTCAACGTAAAGAAAATGCTTTTATTGTAAGACATTATGCAGGACGAGTTAAATATCAAGTAATATAACATATTATTGATTAAAATAAAGTTGAATAACTTGACTTAAATTTTAAGTACTAAAAATAATGTTATACTTCAATAAGCTAAATATTCATTTGCTTTTTATGTTTTGATTAATGATTTAATAGAGTAACTAGATTTTTTAATTAAATGACACTTTTTATAAATTAAATCATACTAGTGTTTTATTTTTATATACAGAGTTTATAAATAATAATAAACCATATTCAAGGAATGTTCTGAGTAGTGTCAAATTAAGAAAGCTTCCTTTCATATTTATTTCACTGAAAAATATTGCATTTATGATAGGCTAATACAAAGTTAGTACAGTTTTTTTTTTTTTTTTTGTAAAGTTGGCTAACATAATTTAAAATGAAGGTAAAATTAATTATTTTAAAATATTATCTCATTAGTAAAGTTAGTCGAGTAGTCAACTACATCTTTTATACTTGTAAATACAAGTACTCTACTATTTTATTTATAACATTTTTTAATTAAATTATCAAGTTTTTTTTTTTTACATACTAAACACATCACTTAGCAACATAATATTTATAATAAAATTTCAATTTTTATATATGTTTACAATTTTAAGATACTTGACTTTTGAAGTAGACTATTAATTATGATTGATTTAATTTTAAAAAAATAAAACAATATTTACCTAAGTTTATTTATGAGATTAATTTCTCTAAAATTATTTTTGTAAAATTATCAATTATAATTTTTTCTGCTTTCTTATACTAAATCCGTCCCTATGTCCAAGCGTTGTTTAGTAGTTTTTAGTACTTATGTAAATTATGTAAAATTATGAAAGCAATTAAAGTTATTTCTACAAATTAAATTTAACTATTTATATTAGATGATAAACCAATCATTTTATTTAGGTTTTTGAGATGAGAGAGAAAAATTTGGATCTTATGCGACAAGACATTGTAGGTGTATTAAAAAATAGTAGCATGGCATTTGTCCGAGAACTTGTTGGTGCAGATCCAGTTGCAGTGTTCCGTTGGGCAATTGTAAGGGCATTTTTTAGAGGTTATTTTTCATTTCAAGAAGCTGGTCGTAGGCATCGACAAAGCAGAGGTAAATGTTTGAGTTTATTCAACTAATGATATAATAAATTAAAAATTAAAATATTAATAAAAATAATATCTTATTTTAGTTGATGGTGTGAAAGCTTCAAGTATATCCTTACGTTTCAGAAATAGTATGCAAAACGACAGTTTAATTAGGTAATATTTTTTTATAGTTATTATATTAATACCATAAAACATATTTTATCATTTCTTCAGGGGTAGTCAATTATTGAACTATATATAATATATATATAAATTTCAAATAAACTTGTATAGGTATTTATATAAATATTTTGAAAAATTACAAAATAGTTCAATATGTTATAGATATTCAATTAATAAATTATTTAAAAAGGGGTAGAAAAAGCACATTTTTGATTGACTATGATTAAATATATTATATGTTTTAAATCAATTATTAATAAATACTCTTAAAATAAAGTATATTTTATTAAGTTTAGTTTTTTTTACATTGTATAGTAATACAATGAATACATTTTTTATATGATTTAGAATAAAATTGTATAAAAATTTGTATATATATTTTAACAGTTTTTAATCTTATCTTCAAATATTTAAATTAAAAAAAATTTTTTATATCCATAATATTTTAAAATAAAATTTAATTATTACTGAATATTAATTTTTATGCTACATCCAGTCATCTAGTAACAATGTCATCGGTAAACCTCACCATTAATCGTATAGTGTAAGTTCAGTTTAAATACTGTTGTTATTGCTTTAAATGTGTCATTTTAATATACTTAAATTTGTTTATATTTATGTGTATTAATTACTGCACTGTTAAGACATATTACATGATATGTGGCTTTTATTGTTTATTTTGGGTTAGTTTTATTAAAATTTAAAGTTATAATATTTATATTTTATTTATTTTTTCATTTATTAGTTCTGAATGGATTGAAGTTTTATTTTTTATTTTTCATTGTCCAGACAAAATAAATTAGCCCTTTGTTATTTAACATAATATTTCCAGGTACACTCCAAAATTTTCCGTAAATTCCACACCATATGGAGGTGGATATGTACTTAATGTGGGTAAAAAATTGGCATCTGCCCCAAACAATGAACATAATATATATAAAAATAATTCAGCTTTCAATAAATTTACAAACTTAGAAACTGTTAATTCTAATAAAATTCTTAATAAAGAAGATATAAAAACTCAAGCCAATAAATCTACAGATGAAGATAAAGTCATTGAACGAGCTACACAAATTGTTATGTATGTTTCCAAAAATTAAAAGTTTTAAAAACTGGTGTTCGGATGGTTTCGGGAGTTTTTAAAAACACTTAAACTGGGAATCTTTTATTTTATATATCTATGCTGTGCAATAAATAAACAATACTTTAAACACTTTACAAGTTACAATATATAATTACATTTTTTTGTAAAACTATATTTTTTTTTTTTCATATAGTATGCTTTATTAAGCATGGGATATGATTAGTTTATACATTTATATCAATTTAGCATGTGCATGGTTTGAAATCATATTTTGTAAATAATTAGAAGATAAGTTTTATTTTTCATCTTTTTTTATGAAACATTATTTTAATTTTATACACAAAAAAATAATATTAATTACTTTTAATATATTTCTCTCATAAATATACATTTTTCATTAAACATAATTTATCATTTAATACTAATAGTAATAAATCTATTGGATTTTAATTAATAACGAGTATGAATTAAGATCATAATTTATATTTGTACCACATTTATTTTAATAATATTTTTTTTTAAGTCTTAGTTAACTTTGATCTTATGCTTTGTAATACTTAATACTTTCGATTATTTACTAACAAATAAAATTGTTTACATATAAAAATGTTTTACAATTTTTTGTGTTAACGTATTTGTATGTATACAAACTATATAGATATAGATAGTTTTAAAAATATATTTTATTTCATATAACTAATAAAAAGATTTATTTTATATATAACTAATAAAATATTTTATGTTACAGGAAAAATAAATCTTTCAGACCTAAAGACCGTGGTAACAAAGGATTAAAAAATCTTCAAAGTGTAAAAACACTTGCAGGACGAATACAAGTACAAGGTTCAATTAGCAGTAAAGCTCGTAAACAACCTCTTACTGTAACTGCTCAGTTTCAAATGTCTTTAAATAGCCTTATGGATACTCTTAATCAAGCAAATCCATTTTTTATTCGATGTATTAAAAGCAATAGTAATAAAGTAAGTCTTTAATAATTTTAAAAAAATGTTTACATTTACATAACAATTTAATATTACTGTTAAAATATTTAGGTTGCAAACATGTTTGATCATGATACTGTTCAAAGACAATTACGTTATACAGGAATGTTAGAAACTGTGAGAATTCGTCAAGCTGGATATAATGTTCGACTTAGTTATGAAGAATTTGTTCAACTTTATCGAATATTACTACCTAAAGGACTTAATAGGTAACTAAAAATAGAAAAATATTCATTTAGAAATATTTTTAATGAAATTTTATTTATAGTAACTCTCAAGATGTTCAAAATTTCTTAAGAACATTAAATTTAGATCGAGATAATTATCAGATTGGTGAATCAAAAGTATTTTTACGTGAGTGTGAAAAATTAAAACTTGATTATAGACTTCACCAACAAATAATGGCAAGCATTGTAACTATACAACGTTGGTTTCGTACACTATTACAACGAAGACAATATCTTAGAATTACATGGGCTACAGAAACATTACAAGTATTATTAAATGTATAAAAAATTTTAATTTGGATTTAATGTACTTACTTTCCCATATTAGTCTTGGTGGAGAATGATATTGGCTCAAAGGCTAGTTAATAAAATGAGAATGGATGAATCAGCTGCTGTTTATATACAATCTGTATGGCGAAAACATAGAGTTGCAACTTGGTATAAGAATTTACGAAGAAGTGTTATTACTTTACAAGCTCATTCTCGAGGTTATTTAGCTCGACAAAAATTTTCAAAAATAAAAAATACGGTATATCATTTAAAAGTTTTTGAAGTATTAGTGTAATGTATAATTTATTATTAAACTTCATATTTGCAGAGGAAAAGTGTTTCAGCTCCTCAAATTAGCAATTCTAAAGATTCTAGTCAAGAAGAACTGCATGATTCTGAGTAATTAATTAAGTTTATGAAATATTTACTTAATAATAGTTGTATTTTAATTAGCATAATTTATATTTTTTTTTCATTCACAGAAGTAGTGGAGGAGCAAAAGGTGACAGTGAATCAGAAGCTGACCCATTTGTACAATCCAAAATTATAAATAATATTAAGTATGAACATTATTTATTCAATGTAAAATTTCAAATTATTTACATTTTTAATTATTTTTACTTTTTACAGGGAAGAACAATTTAAAGCCCCAAAAAGAAAAATATCATCTCGTCTGAGAATAGAATCCCATCCAACTGATGTTCATAAAGGTATAAATATTATATTATTAATATTTAATAGTAAAATAGACTTTTTCATTATTTAAACATTTTTTAGATACATCAATATAATGTTAGATCTTATTGAATTAAATCAAATAGATAGTAAAACAAATAAAATAAATATTTTTTCAATTCCTTAGAACGTTTTCACAAGATTGATGGTTCAACTCACGAAGGAACAGCATTTAGTGATAGTGAATTAGATGATACTCATGTAAAACCACCAGTTGTTTGGAAACGAAGAGAACGAACCATTGATTCCAATAAACGCACTTTACTGACCAGAACTGCTCATGTTACCTCTGAGCCAAATCCTCCAATCCGTTTATTTAATCGACTTCGTGTATCTAATACTGAACCAGCACCAGAGTAAGATAAAAAATATATGAATATGATCAATTACTTAATATCTAATAAAGTGACTTACAGATAATGCAAATATAAAGGTTTTTTTAAAAATATATTTTACATATTTATGACATCAACAATAAAGTTATTGGTCAGTTCAACTATATCATTCAATTTATACTATTTAAACTATTTATAATATTTAACATTTTGACTTCATTCTAATGATGATTAACATTTTTTGAGTTATCTAGTACCATGGTTGACAGCATTTATTGTCAAATATACAATTGATAAAAGTTGTTTATATTATATGATTAACTGGAAGTTAGTATAATTAAGTAGATATTTTAAAATATCTATTCATATGCTGTTTGAAAGAATAACCATATAACAGCAGTTTTTATTAATAGAAGTTATTATTATTTAAAATTGGAGTGAGAAACACAAAAATATGTTTGCAGTCAGTTGCCAGTCTGTTAGGATTATATTAAATTAGTTGATAGAGATCAGTTTTATTTTTAATTTGTTAATTGTATAGGCTGCTTTTATTGAAAACATTATGATTTTTTTTATGGTTTCTGAAAGTTAATGTTTGTATCTTAATTCAGATACTCAGTACTCTGTATTCAAAAAATATGTGTTTGACAGAAATGAGTGTACCAGAAGTTAGGCATTGCGGTAGATGTTTCTTTTTTTATGTGTGATGTAAGTGTGTGCTTATTTGAAGGCAATTGATTATAATTTATTTTAACCTTACATTTTTTTGTTATTAAAATTATTATCATAAAATTTAAAGTTACTAGAGTCTCGAGTTATTATGATTTTATTTTATAATATTTTGTTTTTAAATATTTTTTATTTAGTATAAATACTGTAAATATTATTTTTTCAATAGCAATTCTATTATAAATGAAAAAGAATTAAAAAGAAGAAACAGTGATGGCTCTACTACACATTCAGTAAAATCAGATGAACCAAAATTAACATATTCACCATCTTTTGAACTTCTGGAATGGAAAGGTACTACCATGTTTACAATAGCAGGCCACCGGTTTAGGAAATTAGGACGATTTACTCCTCAAGATAAATGTACTTATTGTAATAAATTGATGGATGCCTTTTTAACTCAAGGACACAAGTGCTCAGGTAATTTAAATATTATTACTATAATTTATACATTTTTAATCTTTAATACTTAAATATCCCATTGTTTACAAATTATCTACTTTTAAATTGTTTAATTATATTTGTTTAGATGTTTTACATATTTTTACAATTTATTATATTAATAATTAAAAAGTAAATTATCAAATATTATATACTAGACATAATAGTCTTGACTATTTTTTTTTTTTTAACTTATAACTCAATTTAAGTGATAAATTGATTTTTTTTTGTCTCGTTTTCTTTTGCAATAATTATTGATAAACAATTTATTGGATTATGTTTTAGATTGTAAAAAGTTATTTCATACAAAATGTATTCAAAATGGCGGTGTATTACAAATGCCTTGTATACAACAAAATGGAAGTAATCGACCAACTAACAGAAGAAAACCTAGGAAACCAGCACCTTCAGGCAATAAAGCTCATATAACACCAAACATAGCAAATAACCAAAATACTACAATAGGGAAATTCAGTTTAACTGGTACATCAGAATTCACAGACCGTACTGACAAGATTATATCTGATGTACGTGAACTTAAAATGATGCAAGATTTTATAACTAAAAAGGTTAGTTAATATTTTTTATCAAAAGATTATTATTAGTACAATCAAGTCTTAATAACTCAAATTATTCTTTTGTCTCTTGAAAATTCCTATATTTTCAATGTTGTAAAATTTATTTTTATCATATTTGAATTAGATTTATCAAGGCTTGACTACGATAAAAATAATATTTAAGATTTAAGTATTATTATACTAAAATTAATATCTATGTAATGTTAAATTTGGTTATTGTTTTGTATGCAACTTTCCAATAAATTTAAGGTTTAATTAATTTAATACTAAATTAAAAGTAAAAAAGTTGACAAGTAGGTATCAGCTTTGCTGTAGAGGAATAATTGAATATACCTCTTTACTGATTGGGTAATTCTATAGAGATATTAAATTTAAATTCAATGATATACCTATAACTGTATACAAAAACTAATTCTTAGCAAAGACAGTCTAACTTTTAAACTAACCATGGTTACCAAACAATTATTTTAATAATAGTATGTTAATAAATGTTTATATATTTTTTTTCCCAGTTATTTAAAAAAATACTGAGAAATTTCTGCGTTTGAACTTGCAATAGTTTCTTTTCTTTCTAAATACAATTTTCTACCAGTAATCTCCCTCAAAGTTGATGATCAGGATATTTTTTTCTACTAGAAAATGTTTTTTTTTTTAGACACAAAAAAGCATATTATTGTGAAATCAATACATTTATAGCTCTAATTGGAATCTAATATTAGTATTATAGTATAAGCATATAAATAAATAGAAAAAGTTTTTTTTATGTTTAAATTAATTTTATTGATTATAATTCATAATTATCAATATATAAAAAAAAGGTCTTAAAATAATAGTCAGCTTATTTGCAAGCAAATGCATTGTGTTTAGTGGCTATGGCCAATTGTGGTAGTCTAATGGTGTGATGTCTATAGTATTGATGATTCCTTATTATATTTTTATAACTTGACAAATAATTATCAGCTCATATTAAACTTAAATGGTAAATACTAATAGACAAATATCTATTGATTTGATTATGATACATGTGTGTCTATAATAAATTATTTTACACAGTTCTTTATTTTACATCATATACTAAAATAAAAATTATTAATAATTAGTTGCATTTATGTGAATTTTCAAATCCTAAAAAAGTATTATAATTGTTAGTACAAATTGAACAAACTTGAAAAAACAAAATACAAAATAATATATTTACCTACTATATTTATTATTTAACATATAGTAGGTAAATATATAGTGTAATAAATAAAATAAGTTGTTTATAGGTATATCAATTAAAAATTATGCATACTGAAGATAATATAAATTATCATAATAATATTTATGATTACTCCTGCAATAAATAATATTGCTCTTGTAGGTTGGGGTAACGTGAACACATAAACAATTGTATGCATTATTCTTACAAATGTATAGATTCTAAACATATTGTTAGCTATCATTTCTGGAGGTTTGCAGGCTACCAAAAGTAATCCAGTAATTAAAAATATAGGTATATTTTCCAAGTCGTTTAAATGTGCCCTAAAATTAAAATTAAAAATTATTATTTATTTAATCTTCAGTAATTGATAATACAATCTAATTTCATAATTTTACCTTCTTACTCTTTCGATATCAGGATCATCATATTTAACTTCTCCACCTCTTTTGCTGATTGAAGTATCTTCTGGACTTATGAAAATCTATTAAATACAATAACAATTACTTGAGTAAATAATTTTTCATTTGCTAGTTTAAAATTTGATTTAACGGTTGGTTAAAAATGTATAAAAAAAAATCGGATAAGAGTATTATGTAATGATGTTTTGTACAATAATTTAGTGTATAACAATAGATAAGTCCGATTTAATAGTAACATAGTTAAGAATACTATCCGTGTTGTCTCTATTTTACAAACATACGACATGCCAAATTTTTGTTCTTCATGAGAATTGATTATGCATTATTAGTGTGTTGATATAAAAGTGAAATTATCAAAGTTAAAATTAAAACTTTTATGTCATACTTTGTGCTTGAGCAACATTTTAATTTTTTTTAAACTAGATACAAACAATTTTAATTTGTAGTATTTTATATACTTATATCTTGCTTAAAGTTATCGAAAAAAACTCACTCCTAAGCACAAAAAATGTTCTTACCTTAAGTTTGAATGTTTGATAATAGGTCAATTCACTTTAATTTAAAACAAACAGCATATACCTAATTTGTTTTTGATAAACGTAAATTTGGCATGGTGTACATTTGTAAGATAGAGACAGTGGCTCAGTGCATGTATGTGTATCACTTTAATATGTTTACTTTGGATCTTATGAACTACTTTTTGCATTTATTTAATTGAAAAAACATAATTGACTATTGAATAATTTGTAAATTTTAAAATATTGGTAAGTGTGAGTCTTAACTTGTTGAAAGTTGATAATAGAATCTAAAAAGATAAACATGTAAAGAAAATTTTAGAAAAAATTTAGAAAATTTTAGAAAATCTAAACATGTTTCCTAAATGTTTGTTGCGTTGTTATTTATTACTATGTGCTTTAATATTCTATAACAATATAACAAGATACCCTGACGTTGACCACACATTTCAGTACCTTTATAGCGAGGGAGAGTAATATACAACACTTTTTATTACTATGGGTAGACTTGATATGTCTAATACTTATCAACATGTATCAACCACATTAGTAATGGTTATACTCATAGGCGCAATTTGGATTAAATTTGTGGGTGACTTTTCCCCCAAATCCTTTTTTTACAGCACCATTCATACATTTTCGTTAAACTACCTTATTATTTATTAATAATTTATAATGAAATAAAGTATTAGTAAAGAAAATAAAACACAAATTTCAAATATAATTTATAAATAATTATATTTTTTATTTTTTAAATTTTATTAAAGATAAACATCTTTGAGACATACTAAAATTATTTATTATTTTATCTTTGTCAATTTTAGTGCTTAGATCTCTCAATATTAATAACAATAACTGTTTTCTATTTACCAAATAATCGAAAGACGTTTTGGCGTAATCGTTATCGACTTATCAATAATCGTTTTATAAAATCTTGTGTAATTAATATATAATAATTTATTAACCATAGTCCATAATTTAAACAATAAATTGACAATAATATTTTTTATATTATCCTGATCAGTGATCGGTATGTTTCATTATTATTATTTATTAATATGAAGATGAAAAGTTCTAGAATCAAATCTATACTAATGTCTATGACATAATATCATAATTTATAATATATAACCAATAAAAATTCGATGATGTTATTAAAAATGTGGAGGTGCTAATATGTAATTTTAGGATTCTAAGCACCTCCTAAATTGCGCCTATAACGATTGCGAACGTTTTAACTTGCCTATAATTATCCCAGATTAGGTGTTAGTCAATTACAAATTTTTAAAATAATTAAATGGTAGGTATAAGGATTTTCTGCTATTACGCTATCAAAACAATTTACATAACTCTATGGTCAAAAAATATAAATCTAAAATTGAATCAACATTAAAACATTATAATTTATAAAATCCATAAGGATCTAATTTAATATTTACAAAAAACTGGAAACTCCTAAATAAGAAAAAATTATCTCGCCATATGAAAGAAAAAAAATATGTAAATTTTAAATAATAATAAAATAATATTTACTTTTTACGGTCATTATATATATTAATGAATTATGTATACAAGCAATATAATAATAATATTAATTTATATTCTTAGTCTAAATAATAAAAACCATTAAATTTGGATTATCGCGGTAATTTACTTACAAAATCTAAAAATAAATCTTTAAAATAAAATACCTATAATCATCGTGCGTATAATCTTGAATTTTGTAATGTGTAGGAACTAAGAAGATAATATTTTCTCATAATTGAAAATCGGTATTTTATCGAGTAAAATTTTGAAACCGAAACAAATCGCTGGGAAAACCGGGACACTTGGTTAAAAACCGGTATAGTCCCTGCAAAAGTGTAATAACTTATACTCTTTTATTATAAAACGCATTTCATATAGGAATAATGCAACTCACTAGGCACAAGCATCTAGGCAGTAGTTTTAATCAGGTAGATGCAATTGAACATAAATATAATCTAAAGGATTTTGGAATGGGAAGTACGTTATCCGGGTGCCATAAGATACTAGGATCATCGCACGTACGCATGAATTTGAAGAAGCGTAAACCGTGGAAACGCGACGGTGCGCATCTCTTAACCAGAAAGTATATGACTTGGAATAGTGATAAAAAAACGTATATAGAGAGCTCAAGGTAAGACTGGCAAATGTAATTTATAAGGGTTATTTTCACGCTAGTTTATGTTAAGATTTAGTAATTTGGAATTAGAAGTATTATCAATTAAAAAAACACTTAGAAGAAATTAAGATTATTTATTTCAGCACAACTAATGCACAACTATACACGGTTGCTTGTATGTGGCCTGTTACAATATATATTTATCAATCAATAAGTTTGAATAAAAATAGGTCTTTATAGTTTTTAACAGAATAATCCGTTTCGACTGTCATTAGGTGTAAAATTTTAAATGGGAGTCCTTATTTTACAATACATAATTAATCATATGATATAGTTTGTAAAACTATGTATTTAAATAATAAAAGTAATATTCATGAAATAATAAAAAAAACTTAATTGTTATTATGTGGCTTTTTAAATGAATTATATATTTGATTATGATTAGTGTAAAGATAAGCACATAAAGGCTAAAATATTAATCTTTCCCTTTGAATGTTTAAATGAAAAAAAAAAAGAAATGAAATACAATTTTTTTAACTTTAAATATGTCTTATTTTTTCTCTTAATGAAAATAATTAAATTGAAATAATAAATATAAACACATTTATAACTAAAAGTAAAACGTAAATAAATCTTACTTTTTTTCTAAATCGTTGAAGTACTGTTAGAAAAGACATCATAATCATTTTTAAAATAAGAATACTACTGTAAAATGCATAACATTCGAACACGGGGTTTGACATCATTAACAGTCCCATGGTAGAATTATCTGACATTTTGTAAAAAATATATTATCGCACTTTTTATTTTTAGTAAATTATATCACTTAGAAAAATAATATATCCAAGGTAGGCATACGAACGAAGAATGAGGATAATTTTGACTGTTGAATACCATACTGCCACTTTTTACAAGCTACAGAAGCGACAACCCTGAACTGTTTGACCGATAATTATACTTCCCCTTCCGTTATTCGACGACCTATATTGTTTTATTTGTAAATTTTATGCTTAATTTTAAAATGTTCACAATTTATAAAGGATCACGAATATAATAAAAATATAAAATCTCGTAAAGAATGGATCTTTTTAAACTGCATAGACATGAAACATCAATCATACGAATATTTAATACTTAATATTAGATACATAATAAAAATTGGTTTTTACTATTTAATACACATTCCAATTTCACATAGAATCTAAAAAAAAAAATTAACAACCCATTTTAAAAATAATTGTAAAACAAATCAGTTAGTTAGTTATGCAAATAATATAATTGAAAAAAATGTACATACTTATAAGGATTAAAAAAAAAAATTTTTTTAACAGTCTAAAATTTTCTGTACATTTTCTGATTAATACGATTACTTATAGATGATTAAATTATTCAGCTAAGAATCACCCTGTATAAAAAAATACATTATTATAGTTATTAAAAAATAACTTGAAGAGTTAGTTTGCGTGTATTTTTCTTTAGCTATTGATTTTTTTTTTATATTTTTTCTATCGTTATTTGTAAATAATTAAATGTTTTATGTTCAGTTTTAATGTAGGACATCCACTTTCGTTAGGTATAATAGTTATTTTTTCAAACCATTTTTTTTTTTAATATATAAAATTAAATGATTGCTTTTAACCAAAGACTATTCTTTGAAATTAGTTTTTAAGGTTTGGCATTGATTAAGTTTTCCTATATTACATAATTTGAGATATAATTTCCAAGTTTTATATGTGGCCTACTTTCACTTAGTTGCTTAGTAATTTTAATAATTTAGTTGTGTATTTTGGACGTCTTTTTATTTTATTCAGGAATGTTCCATTTATCCTAGGCTATTACAGTTACCCTAAATTTGTATTTTTTCTTGTATAATGATGCATAATGTATTTTAGATACAGAGTGAAGTGAAGAATGTATTTATTTTACAATGTGTGTGTTTTATTAAATAAATACACTATTCTAGAAAAAATGCTTTGATTTTCAACGTTGAGATTATGAAAAAAAAAATGAATTTAAATAATACTTTTGTATATTGCATAGTTAAAACAAATAATTCATAGATCTTTTAAAAAATAATCGAAAAAAACTGTAAAACTAAAAAAAAATTATTGATAGTAAAATAAATTACTGTAATAGAAATATTAATAAATAATAATAATAGACTAACAGCTGTAATATCATCGTCTACATTATCCACAATTCCATTCAGAATTGTTGTTTGTATGCAATAATTTATTATTAATTTCAAATTTAACACATTCACTATAGTACTTTATACTTTATAGCTTTGTGTCATAACAAATTTTTTTATTAAATTTGTAATACTTCTACATATTTGGTCTAATTGATAAAATATCGCTAATTTATTGATCTATATATATACCTTTCCTCTTTTGTTCTTTTTATTTTATTTATTTTTTGTGACTAATACAGTGGCGTCGGAGAAGGGGAGCAAAAGTATAATTTTAACCTTTCCTTCCAACTACATTAAAATTAAAACGTATACTATAGTAAATTAATAAACCAACGAGAAAACACAGATAATGTTCTTAACAAAAATTTTGAAAATAGATTAATTTACTCTAATATCAAAACTAAAAGCACACTATTAAAACTGGTTAACGAAGATTTACTATTTCATACGTGTGTAAGACGGAGACAACACATGCGAGTGCGAAGTCCTCTTAAGCTTTTTTTTTTATAGATTTTAACGAAATTTAATATTTAAATGTAAAATAACAATTCGAGTTACTTTGCTGCAATTCAAAAATATTATTCTTAAAATCTTGAAACTTCATTATTGCGTTAGTATATTATTATTTTCGAACATAATGACGTTTTAAAATTATTTTGAATTATTTTAAGCTAATATTATAATATAATTTTTTCACATCATTCTACTATACGACAACAATATTTACTTATAGGTTAAAAACAGTTATTTGTAATATATATTATAAAAAAATATCAATATCAATATGTTATACTATGTCAACAGTTGTCAATAATAACTAGGTCAACCTAGAATATTACTAAATAGAAACGTTAATAAGTTTTTGAGTACCTACTATTAAGTTCTATCCATGTTTATGGATATACTAGCCTGATTATCTGATTTAGGTTAATATTTAAAAAATATAAATATAGATACAAATCTACAAACTAAACATTTTATTTTATACTTAAGTCTAAAATTTATGGCAGACTTAAAGTTAAAATGAAGTTTAACATTAGACTATTTCATTTTATAAATCAATATACATTTTTTTTTTTACCAAAGTATTGGTAAGAAGGTAGGTCACTATTTAATAATAGTTGTTATTTATCATTACTGGTAGGTCACAGTGAATATAATATGATTATACTATTATTAGAATATGCTTTTAATTATATACTTACACAAATTTTTTAAATGTTTTCATTAATTAGGAAAAGGTTCGTATCTTGTTGTCAATTATTAAAATGTCATTAATTGAAAATTAAAATTTTCAAATATCTCTAAAGAAACTAAATATTACAAAAAGTCTTGAAGAAATTAAGAAATTTAAAGAAGTAGATTTTTACTTGTCCTGTTCAAACTTGTTTTTTAAATGTGATAATTTATCATAATTAATTATTACAAAGTTAGTGTAGCACTAGCATATCTACCCAAATCCTATAAAATTACATATTTAAATTAAGTCGTCTTCTTATTTTTACATAATATTCTATTAAAGTTACAAAACTACAGTATCAAATTAATTAGTATATTGTTATAATTGTTATATTTTGATCTTATTTCAGCTGTACAAAATTGAACGTGAAGAAGTTAAAAAACCATCCCAAGTTGATAAAATATTTAAACAGGCATTACGTGAATTTAAAGAAAATCTTATAGCAACTTATAGTGTTGCTAATAAACAAGGGAACGGTCAAGTGCTCAATATTAAATATAAAGATTTAATTGCTAATTTCTTACATGTAAGATATTGTCGAGATATTGTATTTTTCAATTTATGTGCATATCTTATGTTAATAATATGTTTAGGTAATAGAAACAGTATGTGGAAATGAGAAAATCCAAGATGATTTTCCAGTAACTCTTTGTGTTAATGCATTTCGTGGTTTCATGAATGAATTTATGAGTCAAAATCGAGTTGAAGCAGAAAAGCCCAGTAAAACAAAACGTAAAAAAGAGAAGAAGCAAAAGTCTGAAGACCACATTAATCATGGTGGACATATGTTACAAATGAGTATGATCAATATTCCTACAGCGTGTGAAGTTTGCACTTCATTCTTTTTGTGGCCAATTGAAAGAAGTTTGGTGTGTCGAAGTGCGTATAAATTTGTTATTTTTAAAATAATATAGCAATTTACTAATATATCATTTTAATTTTAGATTGTAAATTGACATGTCATAAAAAATGTTATACTCGTGCAAATCAAGAATGTTTAAAAGACATGAATTCTTCTACTACTAACATGCAGTCAAAGGGAGTATGTATTGTTAAAGGCAAAGTTTTTGGACGTCCTTTAGGTGAATTAGATTTAAGTATGGGTAAAGTTCCAGCTGTTGTTGAATGTCTTATAACTATCATTGAAATGTATGGAATGTACACAGAAGGAATATACCGTAAGCCTGGGGTAGGTTTTAAGTTTTATTAAATTTATAATGTCAATGGATAAATAAAAACAAATATTTTGTTCATAATGGATGATTTTATATATATTGCTATAGCTTACAACACGTGTAAATGAACTTAAAGAGCTTATTGACAATAATGATGTGAGCAAAATTGAATTTGAAAAATATCAGGTAAGTTTGTTTTCTCGGAATAGAAAAAAAATTACTAATTCAACTTTTACCCATTTTATGTATTGAAATCAAAAATGTTTTATATTATATGCTACCTATATAATTTAACAAATGTATTATTTATTCAGTATAAAATACAAACTGAAAGCTTTTATTTCTATATTATACTTAACTTTATGTTTTACAGGTTCATGTACTTGCCAGTGTATTGAAGTCATTTTTACGTGACATGCCAGAACCATTATTAACATTTGATTGTTATGATGATTTTATTCGTGCTGCTAGTTTATCAGAGGATCGTGTCTCAACATTATTTAACATTTTAAAAAAATTACCAAAAGTCAACTATGATCTAATGGAGAGACTTGTTTTTCATCTTGCTAGGTACATATTTTAAACCATGATTTTTTTTCTTCAATTTATTTTGACATAACTCTTTATTTTTAGAGTTGCATTGCACGAAAATGTAAACCGCATGAATGCTAGTTCATTGGCAATAGTGTTTGCACCATGTGTACTAAGAACAAATAAATTAGTTCCTGCACAAGAGTCACTTAGAGATATTGAACAACAAACACTTTGCATCAGTTCTATAATAAGCCATCAAATGGATAAAATCAAATCAACATTGGCTGACATTGATACATTAGATACTGCACATCATACTGCCACTCATCGGCTATCTTCTTTACGTATTTCAAAAGTATGTTCATTTTGTCAAATTTTTAGTTGCTGAAAATTAAATTATCAAATTTATTAGGTGTATGGACCAACTGAAGGACCCAGTAAAATGGATGAAGAAGAAAAAATGCTGGTTGGACAAATTCAAGAAATCAAGAAAGAGAAAGACTTTTTGACCTCTAACTTACCAAGTTTGCGACGCACAAATTCAGATGATGACCTTTTATCAACTGATGATGGAAGTTTGGATGATGTTGATACTAGTAAGTTATTAATTTTGCTAAACTCACTAATGTATACCCTTATTATTATACATTTAATACCAGTTATAGTTATTAAATTCATATTAATGATATTACATGATAGAAGCATAAATAATAATAAAAATAATCATAATTTTCCCAGAATAAGACACTCTTTTATCATCTATATCACCATAAAAAAATACATTTATTAAACCACAATTTGTTTTTAATTGTTACTAGATACACTTAGTAGTAGTCGTAAAGCAAAACTGAAAAATACTTCAAAAAAATCCAAACGTTCAAACAATAATACATTGGATAGCGATGAGGATCCAATTATGGTTTGAATCTTTGAACATAGTAAATTAATTAAATTTTATAATGCATTTTGCTTTGTATTTTTTAAATATAAATGGTTATGTGTGCATTTTATTTTTTAAGACTTGATAAAAATACTTAAGTTATCCCAAAGGCTGTTACTTTTGTATAACCTGTTGTTTTGTATTATATTTTTGTCCATTGAATGTTGGTTAGTTGGTGCTATATCATTGTTATTTTATTTTTTTAATTACTATTATTAATTTTTTTAGTAGCCTTATAAAAAGAAAAACGTTTGTTTTCACCTAAAGACTGTTCTTCGATCAGAGTTGTGGTTATTTTGTACTTCTATTCTTTATTAATACTTATTTAGAATTTCATTTATTATGTTAAATGACACAAATTAATTTTATATTAAACAAGTGAGTTTATTTTTTTATTTTTTTTTTTTTGTATTGTCAACTTCTTGTTAATTTTTATTTTTATTTAATTTTTTTTTATTTATATTTACACAGTTACTTATTGAATATGTAATTATAAAAAAATATTAATTTTAGTTTATTATAATAAACTAATTATTTTACCATGACTAAATAATCTTATGTATAGCATTTATGTTAAGACATTTTTTTTATTTTTATTACATTTTGTACTCGTCTTATATCGTATAATATGTTGAATAGCCCTTATATTATTTTATTATTATTATAGATTTCAGATGTGTCAAATTAAATTGATAGTGAAAGAAACTCCTATTATTAGCCGGAAACAAACATTATTTCTATTATTAATTAATTAGTTCCCAAATTTGTGTCAAACCTTTCCATTTATTCATAAGTTTATATTTTATTTTTCGTGAACAACGAATAAGTGCTGTGATCTAAAAACAAAATTAATTATTCTTATATAATGATTTACTGTTTTATATTTTTTTTTTTTTTTTATGTGTAGAAGTAACTGTACAAAAATAAATGTTATGCCATATTATAAACTTTTAAATTGTTAAACAAAGTTTGGATATTTTCAATTTTTGTGAATTATATGGATATTTGTAACATTGTGTTTTGAACTCAAATTCATTTTACAAAAATCATTCTCAATCATTTGTTATGTTCTAAATATCAAGTTAATAAGTATCAAATTTATTTTTGTTATAATAGTTGTTAATTAAGTAACCTTTGTTATAATAGTAGTTGTTAATATGTAACTAAATAACAAAAAATAAATTACATTAAGTAAAATGATTATAATTTAATATAATTTCATAAATTGAAAATATAGGACTTATGTTTTTGTTTTTTAATGATGTAAACTAATTTCTATCATTTATTATTTATTAAGTATTAGATTTTCAAAAGTGTTTTAGAAGAAAATAAATTTTTTTAATTATTTTATGAAATGCATTTATATATATATATATTTTTTTTTATTAGATATTATTACTTTATTATTATTTATATGAGTACAAAAAAAAAGTTCAATATTATTTTGAATTAAAATTGTATTATAAATTCTAAAAAGTAAATTTTAACAAGATATTCATTTATTCCAATACCATGTAATTCATACTAGACATTTTATTTTTTATTAAATTGAAATATTTTCTTTTATCAATATAACTAAGTTGTGTATTGTTAACCATAATTGTTATTTTAATGTTGTACATTCTTTATTCTAATTAATACTATTGAAAGTATTATATTAGAAATAAAAAATTGTGGTAGTCAAATTATATGAATCTAGATCTAAAACATAAATAATATTTTTTTTTTAATCTTAATGAAAATTATATGATTAATTTATAATAATGTTTTGCCTTTTTATGTAAATATGATAAAATACATAATTATTCATTTTACAATACTGTGTTTCACTAATGTAATATTATTTTATCTGTGATTTATCATCCATTCTATGTGAAATATTTATTGTTTTCATAAATGTTAACATTTTAAATCTAATTAGTTTTGTAAATATTATCTTCTTGTATATAAGAATGTGAACATGTTTTGTTATTGTACATGAAGTTAAACATTTATTATTATTTATGTAGAGGAAAAAACTTGTCTATATATACATAATTATACGCTCAAAATTACTTTTATTTATAATTATTCATTTTTTCATAAAACAAAACAGTCATTTAGAATATAATATTATGAAATAAAAAACATTTTTTGTACATTTTTGGTATTTTATCAATTTGTTTATTTAAATATTAGGACAATTTAGGCCATTGGCATCGTTCATTAAATGACACAACATTCAAAACATTGGGCCTCAAAAAATATACTAAAAGAGTAGCTGTGAATCCGTGTATTTGTGTATCACCTCCAAACTCGACATTACCAGCACATAGTACTTGATACATAGATACTTGTTCTGGCAGTGGCATGTTAAGACTTACAATGTCAATACTGAATAGTTGATGAGTTGTTGTAGCCATTGTTAACATAGCTTGTTGAATGGCTGAATGACCAGACATACGGTTGCCAAGCACAATGAATGTACCATCTTCGGGAAAAAATGTGTGAAGGATATGACGATTTATGTCGTAGCTAACGAAAAAGTCTTGAACAAATTTCAATACAATAGATTCTTCATTTTCTAATTTTTCATTCATACTGCAATGGATAAAACAAAAAAATTAAATATAATGCTTCTAAAACTAGAATATTTTGTAATTGCTCTTATGATTAATTTTAATTAGAAAGTTGTTGGACATTTATATGACAATTATAAATTCATAACTAAAATGTAAAAATTAATTAGGCAACAATTGGAATGAAAAATAATAATAACAGAAAACAAATTAATTGCTCAATACATATTGATATTAATTTTTAGATTAAAATAAATTTCAGAAGACTAGAATTTTATTGAGTACATGCTCGGACAGCCGTTTTAAATTTATATCAAAGCAACAGTGTATAAACAACACTAAAAGTCAAAAACTACAAAATAAGACTTTACAATTATTATAAAAAAATCTTAAAATACAAACCACGCATATTAGGCTTAGATTTACTAGTTTTAACTTTTAGGGCTGTTTAAACATAATCTGAATGATAACAAAATCCAAATAACAGACAAGTAGCCAACACGTGATCTGATAACTGATCAGTCACAGTTTTAATTTTTCATGGAATTCTAATCCTAAAGAATATTTATAACAATTAATTAAGGTAATCAAATTACGGAAGTTACGGATTCATATAAATTATTTTTCAATTATGAATTTAGATCTTACCTAGTAGCTAATAAGAAGTTGTAAATGTTGAATAAACTCAATCTATGCTGCTAAAATTGTACTAAATTATGCAAAGATATATCCCAATTTCAGTTGGACTCTAAATTTTGAGCACGGACTAAATAGCGAATTAAATTCTACTAATTTTAGACATTTTAGTCCGTGCTTTTGAATTATAGAAAATTAACGAGATAATAAAGTGCTTAGACATTATCATAGTTATATAACAGCATTACTCTACAGTGTGGCCACCACAATAACATAATATTAAAACTATAATCCAAAAGCCGTATTTCGTCTCTTTTATTGTTTTAGCTGAAAATTTTGCTTTTTTGTTTAGCTGAATTTCTAGATTTTACTATTTTTTACTTTTTCATTACCTCATTAATGCATAATTTAAAATTAATAAAAAAAATGAATAATATTAATAACATAAATGAAATAAATACATTAAATGAAAAATAAGATATATAATACACATATTCTTACTCTATGACTCTATGTTATTACCATAGATTGAAATTGGTACCTACCCAATTTCGTTTAAAGATTTTATTTTATTTAATCATCTATAGTTTGTCTATAAATAATTATGTTTGTATTTTTAATAAATTAGTTTCAGTAGGACCTAATCATAAATTATAAGAAATATTAGGTAAAAAAATTGATTATTTTATACTTTTTTTACTACAAAATACAAGTTGTAGTTTGTAATTTTTGTGATTTTAATAATTTTATAAAAATTTGAATTCTAATACTCTTAAAAACTGTGGCAATGTTATACGTCTTCTTCTACTACTGGCATTTCTACTCTCTAAGAGTTTTTGCCGCCATTACTACACTTCGCCACCTGTCTCTATCTTGAACTGTCTCCCTCCAGTTCAAGATGTAATATTATGTATTTTTAATAATTTTATACAAAATTTAAAACAACTTATTAGGGATCTTGTACTAAATTTTCAATAATTTTTGACACAGCGGATAATTTTTATCGACATTTATGAAAAAAAATAAAAATATTTTCGTTGATAAAAAATAGTTATTATAATATATGGAATATGGATGAATATCTAATTAAAATTTTTAGTTTAGTTTTTTTTTTTTATATTGTGTAATATTAATTAATAATTACATATAAAAAACTTATGTTAAATTTTCAAATGTTGAATATAAATAGAAATTTGTTATGAATATTAAAGTACAAAATACTTCGTAATTTTCGAAATTTTGTCATAAGTCTAATTTTAAATGCCTATAAAACATATTATGACTATTATGAGTTATGACTATCACTTCTTTCAAATCATTTATTGATTTGTCATGCATTTTTATTCATTTATAAACGTTTTATCAGCATAAAAAAAAAATTAAAAATCAAACAAAAATTTAATTTGTATATCAATAGCTCAGAGTTAAAATATCTTGATAATTAAATCATGTATTGATGTATTGAAAATAATAATATAGATAACACGAACAAAATCATGAAAATATTAAATTTCAAACGTTTTTCGATTTAAAATTATAATAAAAATAAAGAAATCAATTTTTTCAATAACTTAATTAGCGTGTAAATTCCCATTTTTCCTTTTTTCTTTTTCCGAATTATTAAGGAAAGAACTAGAAAAAGTTGACCTCCTAAAGTACCATATCTAGATTCAATTTTGCTACCAGCAATCATTATTAAATTTCTATCACATAATGTGTTTCTATTGCCTCAAAAAGTGATTATAAATAAAAAAACATACATCGTTGTAAAATCAATACATCTATAAGTTTGCAACAAATTATCTAGTCAATATATTATATTATATGGGAAAAGATGCAATACTTCCGCCTGACATGTGAGCCAATGTATCAGCAGATAAGTATTTAACATTTAATGCATGTGAATCATTTAACATTTCATACGTGTTTTAATTCATTTTAATTCAACTTACCCAAATATAATATATTCCATCATAATAAAATCAAAGTACCTACAGACAGAAGTCATTGAAATTATTGAAATATTGAATTGATAGAACAATATAAATTTCAAAACTAATATTATTTATAAATATAAAACAGGTATAAAAAAACATCAATGAGTGTCGTACGCGATTGTGATAAGGATGATTATGCTTTTAGTATTTTCACCTATTTATAATCGATTTTGATATAATTTATCGTTTATCGCTAAACCGGCTGTAGCTTGTATGTTGGTACGCTGTTAAGGGCTATGACTCCGGTTGCTGGAAGAGCGCACGCAATAACGCATTATGATTATTCGAACATTTCGATATTTCGAACTACGAACAGTTCGAACGGCTAGTCACGATTTAAATGTGTAATGAGTAATGACGCTGTTGTCGAGCACTTTTATTTATTTGATTTTTTTATTATACATTTTTAAATGTTATATACAATAAATAAATATAATTTTAGTTGTTTTTTTTTCGAATCCGTTTTCCATTCATTTTGACTTGCAGCCTGCATAATATTTTAAAATATTTTATACGGGCATGTGGCCCAAATAAAAAAAAGTTTAAGTACCTATGGTTGGCCTAAACTCATCATTTCAAATTCAAAATCCAAAAAGAAAAATTCGTTAGAAACAATACTTAAAAAATATAAAATTAAAGAAATATTGGTGAGTGAATGTATCAAACTCGTGGCTTTTTATTTAAAGAAAATATATTTTACTTATATTTTAACTCTAAAATTTGATATTTATGTAGACATTTATACTATGAATAATATTATGAAAATGAAAATAAAACAAAATAATTTGTAGAGAATAATGAGAATTGCTATCTCATAGTGTCAACTGGGTAACACTAAATATTTATTTATTTTTTTTTTTATTAAGAAAGACAATTTTCAACCTGTACACAATAATTACAATAAGCAAATTTGATGTATAACTATAATAATTTATGTTAATAACATGAGTAACGTGTTGAGGAAGAAACCTAATGGTAATACCTCCTTTAATTTAATAAGTCTCTAGTGTATCTACACTATTTGCGCTTTAGTCTGCGTGGTAGATTTTTTGGGAGGGTGAAAGTGGACATGCATGTTATTAATGTATTGCTATGCGTGCTTAAATTTTGGTAAAAACGTTTGTACATTGTTTTCGCTAGTTCAATGGTTGTTGTTATTTTTAAACCATTGTGTAATGAAAGGTTAGAAATGTACCAAGGGGCTTTGGTTACTAACCTTAGTCTTATGATTGACTTATATATAATAAGTTAGTTGTAGAATAGTAATAGTATTATAGAGTTGAGAAGGAGTCGGAGGAGATGAAGTCTAATGTTCGCTGATTTTCTTTTTTATTTTAGGTGGGAGCCCCGGTTAGTCTTTTATCAAGTGTTATGCCTAAGTACTTTATTTCGGTTCGAACAAGGATGATGACGTTGTCTATTATTAATTGAGGGTACTTACTGGGAGATTTTTTTACGTAAAAGTAACGCTAAATATTTAACCGAGTTTATGCATTAATCATTTTGATTTGAAAAATACGGCCTGAATTTACAGTTGAACTTTTGAATGGTTATTTCCTAAGGCCTAGTTTTACGATTACCCATAATCAATATTATGCTTTATCTATAATATAAGTTTAAAAGGAAAACGTGAGTTTAGTCCCGAAATATTCGAAAGTCTAGGTTAAGCATGAGTCAAGTCCACAGCGTTATAAGATATTAGATAATACTCAAATTGGGCCTACAGTAATATTTTATCGTAATGTTAACTTATTAATAATGTAATCGGAAAGTTATTACCATTTTTAGGCAAAATTAAGCTAATTTAATAATAATTTTAATAATTGTATACGTCAAAATAAAATATAAATGTAACAAAAAACAAAAAATTGCTAATTGGATAATATTTTTAATATTTTACATCAAATCTATTTACATAACAAAATACAAAATTTTTGGGAGACTTACTAACCAGCCTCCAAATTGTATCTTCTGTGTAACTCTAATAGACTAGACCCAACTCATGTACTTAATAAAATATTTCATAACCCAATTCATGCTGTTTTTTAAATTTAGGACCCAACTCAAATTTATTTATTTTAAATTTAAATTATTCTATAACAATTCTCGATTCATGTACCTATCTATTATGAATACCCAGTTTATGTAACTTTATTGTCCTTTAATTTAAAAAACTTAAATAAAATCATTTTTTAACAAAATCTGATGTCATAACATTAGAAAATGGCCAACACTTATAGCAAACTAAAATTAGTCACTTTTTATTTCACTCTTAATATTTAAAATTCATGTTAAAAAAAAGTTGCTTAAAATTCCAACTAAGTTTCGCATCTATAATGTCTATAGTTAATTATTTAAAATTGTCATTTACAATTCATCAGTTGTAACTACATCTCAATTAATGTTATTAAACGTGATAATTTTTTTCTTGATTGTTTTCATTGAAAAATAAATTTTGTTGTCTGTGAACACTGAACAGCTGGTAATTAGTATACATAATACACAATAGTCAATAGCCATTACAGCATTAAGTACAATTATTACACTGCTTGCCATTATAATACATAACATACAAGACATAATAAAATAACCTTCTTATGGTATTTTTTTTTATACTTTTAATAAAAAAAGAAAAAAACATCAATAAATATATAGGTCGTACGTCAAAAAGACTGTAAATTATGTACCTGTCGCTCCAATTGCCAGGTGAGAATCCAAATCTCGGTAAACATATGCGCTGGCTAGTGATAGTTGTCTACAACCAACAACAATATTATGTGCAGTTTCGTAACCATTTATGGTATCAAACCCGGCAATACGATGACTCACGTTTACAGTAGCCTTCAAGGTGTTACTTAGCGTATTATTATCAATACCGCAAAACTATTTTATTAGGTTTTTGGTATGATTTCCATTAAATGGTAGTTTTTAGAAAAATTATAATCAGCAACCTTTGTACTTTAATTTTACAATTAGGCATACCTACTCTCTAGGATAGGTATATATTATTTTTAAATCAATTAAAAATCATAATTATTAATTAAAGAATATAATAATTGATATAATAACAAGAGAATAAATATTAAATAATATTTATAAAACTAGTATAATTATACCAAAATATGCCTTTTGTACTAGTTTTATTTTTCATTATAAGTATATAACAAATAGTACCTACCTACAATAGCAGATAAATAAAATTAAAATAATTAAAGTTAGTTACTTTTTTATTTCATGCTAATATGCATGAGAAATAAGAGTGTTTTTTATATTGAATACCTACCTACTTATGTTTTTTTAATGCTCTAATGTTTAATTTTTGAATTTTATGTCCAAATATTTGTTTTTTCATATGGTTATTTACTTATTCAATTTTAATGTTAACTATTATATTATACTTTTAGACAGGTATAACATTACATTGTACTTGTAAAATCGGCTAAAGCAAAATAAAAATTTAATACTAAGAAATAAAAATTTTAATAAAATTTGAAAAAAATAAAAATACTTAAATAGGATTTAGAAATAAAATAAAATTATACCTATTATGTATTTCTTATATTTATTAAAAAAAGTTTTACTTTTCAATAACTAATTTTCAAAAACAACCTCCAAAACTTTTTTTTGGGGATGGCTTTGTTTTTTTCTCGATACTCCTATAACTATTATATGATAAAGTTATAATTATTAAACATGATAAATAATTAATTTTTATCCAAATTTTGGAACTGAATAATTTGTTAAAATACCTATATATTAAAAATATATAATGAAAATATGTAATTTAAATTTATTACTTATAGTTGTTATTTGTTATGTAAATATTATCTTTGCTGATTAATTTGCTTTATACAATTTTAGTAAGTAAAATATTATTATATTATTTGAATTACCATGTTAAAATTCTAATATGATAGGATTATTTTATATATCAATAATTTTATTTCCATAATCTGTAATATGAAATTCTTAATAATAAAATATCACAGTTTAAATTAATTTGTAATATAATGACAATATTGCAATAACGTTTAATATATTACAAGTTACAGCATAATTCATTATATTTATTGTGTTGTTATATTTTAATTAAACAGTAAATAATTATAACAATATAGTACCTATACTTATAAATTAAATGTTAACAATTTATGCTTATTGATTTTTTTCGTGCAATCCTTTACAAGACGGTTTTAATCAAAAATGTTGTTTGAAGGTGCTAATAAATAATAATTATAAAGATGTTTTAAGCACTATGATGAGAATAGTTACTAATAGTTATATACTTATGATTTAAAATATATTAAATACCTAATAATAATAACTATCTTTTAAACAGATTTAATGTAACGCGCCTGTCGTTTTTGTTGTAATACATGCATTTTATGGCCATATATGGAATAATTTATTAGTGACGCGTTACTACTTATACACTCACTACGCTATATTTTAGTCTGCACTCTGCTGGGTATAAAATATAAATTATAAAATATTTTGACATTATATCGATATCACCCTAAATATTGCAGTACTGCACCTGTCCAAAGTTTAGAATATTTCTAAAATATAATAAAATTCATGAAATTATTTATAGATACTATAATATACTATATACTAGCAAACAGTTAATATATAATATAACCAAGGATATAGCTGTGGGATCCTTAAACTGCCCATTAAAAGAAAAATAAATCTTTTTTTATCACATTTTAACTAAATGTCAAAATTTTAATTTAGTATTAACTAAAATAACAAACAAATACATATTTTAGATCTCTTCCCAATCCCCTAAATAAATATCTCAATACATCATAAAATAATATTATAACTTATAAGTTATGAATAATAACAATTAAAAACATGTTTAATACACAATTATTCCGATTGATTATGTTTCCGTTTAATAATGTAACAGGAATAAACTTATTTGACCTTAAGTAACCGTTTTATTTTGAATTAAATAACTTCATATTATTAAAACCCGTATAAAATGCAACCATGTAAATGTAGTTTTGAAACGATTCTTAACGTTATATATAATAACCATATAATAATTTAAACGGGAGTGGGAAGAATTTTAACTGTACACAAATTTGCTTAGCTCTTTGTTTTTCCTTAACCACAAATTCTTATTTATATACGTTACTTATAATAATATTATTATTATATTCATTAACTTTCAATTTTTTTTAAGCTAATAATTTTTAAGTATTAAAATCTAACAATAATAATAGAATAAAGTATATTAATATTATTAATTAAATAAAAAATTACGTAATTTATTTTAACCAGTATGAATATTCATTAATTATTTATGTATGACATGAGCGATGCAATTTTCTATTTAAGTATGTCATACATACCCATATGGATATGGTATTATGTCATCCAGGTCTGGAGTAATAAATAATTTGTGTCTCCGAATGAGATTTTAGGACATCCCAAAAATAGACAGAAGCCTGTCCCTCTCCCTTTTACTGTTTGTTGAGGCCAAAAGAAAGCTGATCGTCTTCATTATTTCCCCCACTTTGTCTCAAACCGTACCGGGGGTCTACTGCTACATGTCTGGTTGCTAGTCGACGCAAGTTCAGTGTTAACGCGTGTGCTTACGGGTGTTAAGTTAATATCGTTTTTGTGTAATTATTATTATATTTTGTGACTAGGTAAGGATTTTTTTTTACTATAAATATTTTAGAATATATTTTCATTAACTGAAAAATTACTTATTTTTTTTTTTCATTTTTAAATTAAAAATCTACTGTTATTAATAATTTAATACATTTTACTTTGTATTATTATCCATAATTTATATAATTTATAAGGTCAAAATTATAAAAGTATTTTTTAAATCTATAAAAACACAAAAAATACTAATACTTCCACACTCTTTTTAGTTTATTTATGTAAAATATCCATAAGAATACTTTAAAATATAATCCAACTTTAATTAATTATTTAAAATTTCAGTCGCCTAAAAAACATCCAAAATGGACGCCATTAAGAAGAAAATGCAGGCGATGAAGCTGGAAAAGGACAATGCTATGGACAGGGCCTTATTATGCGAACAACAAGCTCGAGATGCCAATTTAAGAGCTGAAAAGGCTGAAGAAGAGGCAAGAGCCTTACAAAAAAAGATTCAAACAATTGAAAATGAACTCGACCAAACTCAGGAACAACTTATGCAAGTTAGCGCCAAACTTGAAGAAAAGGACAAGGCTTTACAAAATGTGAGTATATTTTAATTATTATTATATTATTTAAATCAACTTCTATTTTATTTCTATGTATACAATTTAAGATTAAATTTAATTTTTAGGAAATATTTAATTATTAATTTAATTATGCACTTATCAAGGAACATACCTACACTATACAATTCAAATAATAGACCCAATATATTTCTTAGCACAAAATTATTGAATTACTTTAGGATTTTATAATTCGCATTGCATACCAAATAACTAGGTAAAGAGTTTTTTATTTACTCTATAGTTCTTATGATTTGAAAATTCGTTTCTATAGTTTCTATTAGTTGTTATTAAAATCCAAAAAAAAATTTACTTATACAAAATTAACCTATTAAATAATTTTTCTCGAATAAAATTCCAGTTCTTACCATTCAGTTAATAAGAATTTCTTAAAATATGCTGACCTCAACACAAGTCACAAAGACATCGGTTTATCTAGTTAATAATAATAATATTATGACTTAAATGCTTGTGAGTTGTATACTTGTTTTAATATTATGCCACCACAATAGCACAATGGTTATTTTTCATTAAGTATTTAACTTAAAATGGATTTATTCATTAAGTGGACAGTGTATCAAATTAATAAAATATGTACTTAAAGATTTTTAAAATAATTTCCATCTGGTTGAAATAAGAAAAATATTATGTAAACCTGCATAAAACATATTTTTATAATCCATGTACAAAATATATATAATGACAAAGAGCGACTAAACGACATTCTGGTTCTGGGTTCTATTGTCAGTTGTCACATACCAACAAAATTTGTAAATCGTTAGTAATGGTATGCGTTTTATCGAATACCGTCATCAATGGTGCAGACAACCATTAAAATATTTTTTCAGTTTTACTTTTATTATAAATATATATATATAACAAACACTTAAAAATTAAATATCTTGATAATCTATAGATAGTTTATGTGTTATGAACATATCATATTTGTTAATATCTAGGTACCTATATAACATTTATAGTACTCATTTAATATACTAAATCTAGACATTCAGACTTAAAATTAAAAACTAATGTTTATCAATCAATTATAACTACGTAGAGTAGTACCCTAATATCTCAGAATTGAAATTTAATATTGACAGTACGTCAGCATATACACTTAGACTTCAAAGTTTTGTCACGTTTTTCATGAGGTTCTGTGATATTCTCCTTCAACTCGCACAAGGTATCTTTATTTTTAATATTAATTTGATTTTAGTTAGCAGAAACATTATGCAATATTACGTTGGTATGTATATATATACATAAATATCAAATAGTCACGTTCATTGTACAATATTATGCGTCATAAATATTTCCGGCCAGATAAATACTTACTAGCCTTATGTGTGAGCACTTCGAACATAAAATTTGATAGCAGCAAAAATGATTCCTATTTATGGTTTATAGTTGTGCCTGCGCCCTGCTGTAATTTATATTCCCTCTTCAGGGATTATTATAATAATACATTTGGATATCTGCCAAAGTATATTTTTTAAATATTTGTTCTGCGACTGAACAAAATTTATTATATTAAGAGGTAAATTTTAATATTAATCAACAAACAATTTAGTTATAATAATACATTTTTCATCCTTAGAATATTGATTATTCCAAAAATTATTTTTATAAAAATATTTTTTAAAAGAAGGTTTATTGATCTTAAAAGTTGTTGCGCAGTGTGCAAAGACCAGTGCTGGTTTAGGCTATTCTAAAATTAGAGGCCCTCCGCATGGTTTAAGAATAGAACTGGTATTTATGTTACACTGTGCCAAATACGGACCGACGCGCGATTTGCATAAATAACAAATGTCTTCGGGTTCACTATAATGTAACTCAATACTCCATAAAGTGACGATATTATTTTTGATATTGAAAGGGACTCTAATTTATAAAATAACATATGTAAAAACTTTATTAATCGTTTAATTATTGATACGAAAATGTATTATTAAAAATGTATTTGAAAATTTACTATAATTTAAAATGTGATAAATATACCTAATTAACTATTAAGTAGACACTTTTCTTAACATTTTAAACAAATTATAAAACCCTACATTACATTTTTATTTTATTAATTTAGTAGAAAAAAGTAATTCCGTAAATTCTTAAGCTTAATCCACTTTTGAGTTAAGACTAATTATAAAAATATATCCAAAATTCATTATTTTACTATAAAATATTTTTAATAAAATTGATCATTATTTATTTTTAAACAATAACTTAAAAATGTCTTATTAACTTTTGAATACCAATAGCAAAATATTTGTGATCCATTGTATTTTAATGAAAACTCTTGATAAGGTATCTAGCAAAACTAATAAAAAAAACACATATTAATATATCACTAAATAAGTGTGAAAAATATTAAATTTAGAAAAAAATATTAAATTTATCGATTTTAGCAAAATCTTGAACACCTAGTTATTGCCTTATTAGTGAGTCAAGGTCCGCATAAAATATTTTTTCAAATAGTTGTTTCAATTTTATTTTTAAAACAATAATCTACTACATTCTGCACCCTACAGTGATGAGCAAGAGAGCAAAGTGTAGCAACTAACAAATTAACCATAGTTTTATTTAGGAATTGATTTATGGTTAATGACTAATTACTAATAAATACTCGTTATCTTAATATTAATATTAGCACTCACTATTTACTTATATACTTATAAAAATCAAAAATATAAAATTGATAATATTTTGAAAGTTTAGTGAGGAAATTAAAATAATTAAAAATCTAAGTCGTTTCAAAATTTAATTAAAAGGCATTTTCTCATTTTTCATATAAGTTAATAATAATAATTTTATGTTTGTTAGATAAGATAATTATATCCTTGTTTTCATCTATTTATGTCCATAGGCATAGTATCAACATTGTAAAATTGAAGAGACTCAAATAAATTATAGTGTCCCTGTTTGTGTATTTACAATATTTACATATTACGTTATTATCTGAATTTGTGAATAAAATAATTTTTACTCAAACTTCGTCAAATCTTTAACGTTTATCACTCATGTACAGCAAATATTTGTAGGTGTAGTTAGGGAGGAGGCTTGAGAGGCTTAACCCCCCCCCCCCCAGTTTGGAAAATAGCCCCCTAAAATGTAGACGAAGCCCCCCACGAGTCGCTACATATCTACCTCTAGGAAGCTACAGCCCCTTTCAAAAATTCTTACCACCCTATGCCTATGATAGCTATACTATATAAATAGCATACTTCACTGTGATGATTATTTATTTTGCGAATTCGCTAAATAAAATAGAGAGAACATTCTCTATAGTTGTGAACTACACTAATGTATTATACTATTTATTATTATTAAATATTTCAATGTTAGATTTATAAAATGCGAATGTATGTTAAGTCGTTAATTAAAACAAAAATAACTATTTGAAAAATATTTTGCAGCATTTTACTTAATAAATATTATTTATAACTTACGTATAAGTTTTTACAATATTATCCTTTTTTAATTTAAAACTTTTAATATAGTAACTCGAATTTTAAAATAAAAGTAGAAAATATATATTTTTTAAATTGTGTTGGATATTGTTAGAATATTTTAAAATAAAATAGAAAAATTTAAGTTATTTTAAAGTGAACCAACATTTTGAGTATAATTTAGAAAATGTATTTATGTTTTTATTTTATGTTTCGTATGGTGTATTGTGTTCAAATTTAAATCAGCCTAAATTACTTTATATACTTTTTTCTTTTAGTCAATACTTCTTATACTCTACACTAAAGTTATAAATAGTTTAATATGAGAATAAATATATAGTGTATATGTTGCCAAATATTAAAATATGTATTACAGATCGTTAAATTTTAAAATAATCTATATTTATCCCATTTTTAATATCAAATGTCTTATGACTTATGATGAAATACTAGTACAATTCTATAAATAGTAAATTAATTATTAATTACTTTAGTCAAAAATACAATATTATCAATAGGATTAGGAAATAGAAATTTAAAATAATTGAACACTCGTTTTATTGAATTAATTTTTATAATGCTAAGAAGCAAAAGCAAGTAATAATACTAATAATACTATTAAAAATATGTTTACCCTTTTTTCATAAGTAGCACACGTCACAAATTATATTTTACTCATTATGTTAATGTCGACATAACTAGCTTTGCCAAATAAGGATCGATTCTCATAAATTTATATTATGAATTATTGTGCCCATATTTTATATTTATATATCATGTGATAACAACTTACATTAAATTTTACATGATATTGTAATTTGAAATTCGTATAATTATTAATTAATTTAGTATATTTTTATGTAATCTATTGCATACAGAGATATGTTTATAAGATCTATAATTTTTTTTACATTCTGTCAACGAGAAGAAAATAACTCCGAAAAATAAGTACAAAAATAAATACGTATTATTTTGTTAAGTAAGCGCCTAAATTTATAAAGATGCAATATATTTTACTAACTTGACCGATAAGTTGTATATTAATAATAATCATTATTTATTGTTCTTATATGTATTTTTAATCATAATAAATTAATAAAAAATAATAAACTCATCAACTTTTGTCTATTATATAATTATATAGGTATTGAATAAATAAAAACTAAATACAGATAATTTATATTATTGAAATATAGTGAAAGTAATTTTACTATGTACACTAAGATTCAAGTATATTGTAGGTGGTATACAGAGAACACTTGTTGTTCTGTTGTATATATATCGTATATTGGGGGGGGGGGTTCCAGCACTAAGACCGTCCCGTAAAAAAATTTCCCTCGATCTTTTCTGTGTTCAGCATATAAATCGTACATAAATATTAATTACTAATATTATATGTTTAATTCGTTAATTTTTCTTTTTCATCATATTTAGTTGTAAAGTAATAAAATGTATAAAATACAATTTTTATTTTCAATGCTATACACTTATTGCCTTTACGATTAGACCCCTGTTAATATGATTAAAGAG